TGGCAGCATTTCTGGTGCACCTAAAACTTGTCGGTCTAAAATGAAAAATCACTGTTCGGCCACAAAGTAAAATACAGCTCCTACAGAAAAGTAAATATATTTTTTGAAAGCTTGAGCAGAAGAGAAACCGGAGTGCATAAAAATTCTTTAATCCTGGAGATTTTGTGGGCTGAAGTGCTAAGCCAGAAATGCTTTGTGAGGCACAGACATTATTTATTAAATAGTGCCATTTCAGCATCAGTGGAGGAGTTGCAGAATAGGAGTATATGTGCCCAGAGGAGCCGATAATTCCAAAGGCAGGGAATGCTGGGGAGGCCCAGAGGAGAGAGGAGCTGGAGTTTGGTTTGCTGGGTTCTGGTAACTTCCCTCCTGTGGCCCTGGAGCCACAGGACCATGGCAGCTCCTTCTGCACGAGCGCTGCAGAACAGCAGGAGCTGTGGGGAGTGGGGAAATTTAACCCTTCCCAGACAGGGAGCCAGCACAGGAGAGGGAATAAAACCTGTTTGCACCCAGACCTGCTGGGAATTCCAAGCTTTGGTGCCCCACAGAGTTCCTCCAGGGATGTGTTGGTGACTCTCATCCGTCGTCCCGCGGGTTTGCTCTCCCTGAGCTGAGCAGAGATGCTGGAAATAAATCGTGTCCAGCAAACCCACAAAGATGGATAAGGCACCTTCCTCCTTTTTTTCTGTCCAGTTAGGAGGTTTACTGGGATAAATTCTGGCCCTGAAGGAGGAGGGAGGAGGAACGTGGAATTTTAGTTGGGGGCTTTGCCGTGTCCACCCTGAAGTTTTTAGGGCGAAAGCTGAATTTGCTGATTTTCCTGCTAGTAGGGAGGTTCTGGGCTTTCTCCTTCAGAAAGGATGTGAGAAATCTCAGCCTTCCAGTTGTTTTGAGAAAATATTTCGTTCTCAAGAAATTATATGTTGGGGGTAAGACCCCTGAAGGTGTGTAAGGCCTGGGATCTTCAGGTGTATATTGGCAGACCCCCAAATTTCGTTGACATGAGAATGTTCTGCAAAAAATCAGCAGCTCCCAGCTGTATCTGTTGAATGTGCTTCTTGAGTTTATCCATGTAAACCTTCAAGCTGGACAGAAAAAAATGGAGAAGTTGCCTTATCTGTGTTTATTTGTGTGTTTGCTGGACATTATTTATTTCCTGAGCTTCGGTGGCATCTCTGCCTCTGCTCTGCTTGGGCAGAGCAAACAGAGCAGGAGACCTTTCAAATAGTAGGTTTGAGGAGTAGGTGAGGATAGTGCTTGGATGTCTAATTCAAGCTCTTATTGCAAAGGTTCCAGAGGATTGGTTGGCTTCTGGACACACTTAGGTGGCTCACTCTTCCTTTGTTCAGAAAAAAAACCAAGATACAGACCCTAATGTTATTGCTGCCTTCAAAAGAGAGGGATTTGGGAGGGATTGCTCGGTATTCTCATTCTCAGGTCTTCATTTAGATAATGTGGCTTCCCCTGACTCCATGGAAGTCAATAAGGTTTATCCCAGAGCCTTGGCACTCTATAAATTAAATATTAGGGGCAGTGTTTGAAGTTTAAAGCCCTCCCTCCTCCTGCTGGCTCAGATTTTCTGCCGCTGTGCTTTTTCCTTTCTGCCTGAGCACCTTGCTGACAAGTGCTAATAACAAAATGCCAAGAGAGGGTCCAGTTGGAGTTACCACACATTAAACATTCTGAACTTGTCCTTTTGCTCATAGATTGTGCATAATTAATAATTAAACGGTTTCAGTTGTAATGGGTTGACCTCCTTGAACTGTTCATTACTCACAAGGCAAAGGCATCACTCAAACTTTTTTCCTCTTGCCCTTCCCCGGTCTCGCTCTGTGTGCACAGTTGGGCTGGTTTGGAGAAAGCAGAGGCTGATCTTGTCTTCTCCTGCAGCAGATCCCAGTTATGGAAATGTTGCTTGGATGCTTAGGGAAGCTTGGGAATAATGGTACATTGACCCTTACAACTGTTTGTGTCTTTGCTACCATTTTAGCACCATCCCCAGTATCGAGGACTTCATGATACTGGTCAAAAGATACAGCAGTTATTGAGAATGGAAGAACCATTTCCCAGTTAAAATTGAGTACCTCTGTTCTTCTCTCCCTTAAAATCTTGGGGTTTTACTTTCTGTCCCTCTTCGGTGTGATTTCATGGGGCAGGTGGGGAAAATAAGGCAGGTCATGAGGGTGCAGCTGGACATCCCCTGTGGTTACATCACATGTGACTGTATTGCTTGGTAGAGAAATGTAGCTTTACTTTATTTCCTTTTATTCCCATCTCTTTGAGTGTCAGACAACATCTGGGAAACCTCAGGATACAATATAGGATGTATTTGCAGATCCTGATACTTGAGCAACATGGTCTAGTGGGAGGTGTCCTCAAGATCCAGCCTTGACCTCCTTTGAACCTCCCAAAAGGCTTTCAAATTGAGTGTACCCCGTCTAAAATCCTTGGGATTAAAGCATCTTGTTTCCATACCGAGATCCAGTGGGTGTTCATGTCCACCCTTCCACCCACAATCTCTTCCTGAGCTCCCAAGAGCAAACCAACTGAGGCACGGCTGTGGCCAACAGGGCTCCAGTAGCCCAGCATGGGGTGGAAATACCTGCACTGAACAGAAAAAATGTGCCCCAGAAAAGGAGAAAAACAGGATTTATCATTTACTTTCATCCAGGTGAAATTTTGTCAGGCAGGAGCCCCTTGTCTCTGCCTGTGCTGCAGGACAGGAGCTGTGTGGTCCAGGGTTTTGTGCTGACGTTGGAGCTGCTTCTCCCCTTTGCCTGCGTGAGCCCATAGGGTTTGGATAACCAAAGCAGGATGCTGGTGGCTTCAGAGCAGCTCAGCAGCTTCTCCTCCCCTCTCATAATGAGGTTTCACTCGATTATGGGTCTGTCATCTCCTGTGAATGCAGAAATTATCACCTCCCAAATGAGTGTGAAGTGCCGGCTGCCCATCCCGATCCCCAGCACGGCCCAGCCAAGCTGGCAGCCCTGTCACGGGCATGTTTGCCTTGGAACCAGCTCCTCACTTGCATTTTACTTAAAATAACCAGCAGGGATGGATTGCTGGGCTGAGCCAGTTCCCCAGGGAACGGCCTCCCATGGGCTGTGATATGTGCCCGGAGTATTTCCCACCTCTCCTGCTTTGGGTCCATCCCGGTGGATTCAGGTGGGAGCCCAGAAAGGCTGAGCTGGGCAGGAGAAAAGGATGTGGTGGGGAGAGGCAAAGCCTGCTGGGCTCCACATGAGCAAGGCTGGCAATTTCTGTATTAATCTGGATAATTTAGTTCTTTGAAGTGGAGAAAGTTTAATTGCACTGCTGATTTCCTCGTGTTGCTTCCACTCTCCAGCACAAACCCTCCTCTTATTGCTGTCATTTATAAGTTTGGAAACAATAACCTCTCCTTCACCCTGTCTGAGTTCAAAGAGAATTTGGGCATGTTCTATCAAACAGCTCCCTGTATTTAATAGAAGTCTTTGAAAATTGTAAAGCAATTTTGGCTTCTCCTTTTCCTCCTCAGTTACTTTTGATTGAATTGTATTTTCCAGCAGTTTCCAATTGTTCGAATTGGAAACAAAGCCTTAATAAGAGTTCTAGTTAATTTTCTGTCTTGTAATTACCGATCTCATTTTTCTGATAATTGGCCACAGCAATTATATGTATATTTACTAATCACATAGGAGGCTCTGCAGTCGTGTCTATCTGCCACCATTGATAATGGCACACACATTGCAGAGGTGCTTTTATCATCTTCTTTTTTCCACTACATCAAAGCTATTTCCTCGCCTTCCCCATAATGAATACATGCATGCATTTGACACAGTTGTGTGCTAGAGAAATTGTTTGGCTCCCACCAAATGCTGCACGCTCCGAGTTTCTTGCCTGCAGCGCTGGAAGGTTGTATGTAATGATATATTGCTCATCCAAATGGCCAAAGCACTCCAAAGCACAGTGAGATTAAAATAAGTCATTCCTTTGTTAATTTAAATAGGTGCATGTATCATACTTTGCAGGGTACTTTGTGGAGGGATGTCAGGGAGGGAAAAAGACGCCGAAAGGTATTTTTAATAGCAAATGAGAATAGATGAGAATGGAGTCATTTGCAGCTGCGTGTTTTATGTGGCTCTCTTGTTCCAACTGTAGGTCTAATGAGATGACACTGTTAAAGTACTCTGCAGTGTAATTTCATTACATCCTGAGCTGTTACACTATAAACACAGTGGAGCTCTCTGTCATTCTTGGAAAAACTCCTAAATTCGTAAAGCCCTTCTTTGCAAATGGTGCTGTTGTTTGTTCCCTGTTTGGAAGCCTTTTTTTTTTTTTTCCCCTCTCTCTTATGCTCTTAATTCTCTTTTTTTTTTTTTTTCTCTTTCCTGAATACTGGCTGGTTGTTTTCTACCGCTAGCCTGGTAAATTTTTTTGCTTTTAAAAATTCTTTTGCCTTTTCAATCCTGCCCAGACAGCATATGAGGACAGGTTCTAAAATGAATAAGTGTAAATAAACATGAGTGTAAATAAATAGCGAATGCAGGGAAAGAAACAAAGGTCAACACAAGAATAATTTCACAGCTCTTTGTTAATTACAAGACCATTTGTGTGTTACTTAAATAATCATTAATTTCTCATTTACACTTTCCCTACCTTCCTTTTTACCCTGTGGCTATCATTGTCCTTTTTTCACCTCCCCTCAGTGTCTTTCCACATGTTTTTACCCATTGTGTAATACTCATTAGTTGAAATTCAGTGTTTTATAACACGTTTCTCCGAAGAATTTGTACCTTCCTCCCTCAAATTCTCGGTGTGAAGCGGGGGCTTTGCAGTTATTATTCCTCGGGGTGGGTTTTTTTTGTGGGTTTGTGTTTTGTGGTGGTTTTTTTTTGGTTTGTTGTCGCTGTTTTACCGCTCTCCTAAAAAAAAAAAAAAAAAAAACAAACACAAAAAACCAACAAAAATTCTCTTTTTTTTGCCTGGTGCCTGCGCTCCTTGTTCCGCTGCAATGCCAGGAATCGCCGGTCCTTCCAGCCGGGGAGTTCTCGGAGCCATTTGTACACTTCATCACTCAATGGTGAGCTCAGTTTGCAAACATGCCATGCCCTGGATGTAAATGATACATGTCATTAACTCCACAGCTCCCCGAGACCTTATGGCTTTCCTTGCATCCTTTCCCAGAGAACAGGGACTTGGGGGCCTTGGGCAGATGGGGCAGCAAAGCTGAGCAAACTGTTTAAATTATGTAAACGTTATTTACACAAAGGGTCGTAAAAGTACTTACAAGGGGGTTATTTTTTTATTTTTTTCCTTTTTTTTTTTTAATCCCTGTTTTAATAAACCCTGCCCTGAACGTGGGGGCTGAGACTCCCAAGAATTCATCGAGGTGGGGGGAAAGACTCAGCAAAAACTCGTGTATAATATCATCAGTCAGTGCTTTTAGAAATATTTCTTGTAAAATTGCCTCGATATTTAAGAAGGCAAGAGGCCTTGATGAATTCATTGGCTTCTCAGTAAGTAATTTTTACTGAGAGTCGTGGTTTAAAACACACCACTGGGTATATTTTCTGTCCTTAAAACTGAATAGTTCATTGAAAACCTTTTAAATTAAAGGAGAATTGGGGAGAGGAGGAGGTTGTAGAATAAAGAATACGGTTCTTGAGTGACTAGAGGATACAAATCCTGAGGGTAAGACATCCAAAAGAAGCAAAGTGAAGGGAAAAAATCCCTTTTTAGCCTTTACACTGCCCTGAAAAGAAAATAAATAAAGGGCAGGCATTTATGTACAGCTGAGAAATAAGCTTGAATTTTGTAAAAAATGGGATGTGTTTGAGGGAGAAGGGTCTTTTCTGTGACTGTGCACAGCCAGGGCTGGATGCTCAGCTGTGCTAAATGAGATGGAGCCATCCCGGTGTGTGGGAGAGGGAATCCTGCCCCAGGGATGTGTCCTGCTCCAGGGATGTGTCCTCCTCCAAGCCCCACACAGAGCTATGGGTTGGGCTCTGCACATTTGGGGGTTTCTACCATATTTTGGGGCCGCTGCAGCGAGAGTGACCCGATAACTCTGAATTTGGACTGGATAATACAGGAGATAGTACCTGTCAGGCCTGTAACAAATCCAGGCACAAAAAGCAGTCTGATGATCGGTTAATTAAAGGAACTAAATAATTAAAGTTTGTGTAAGAGAGGCCTCAGTTTTCAATAGTTTCAGCTTACAGAGGCCGGGGCTGTTCGGAGGGTTCTGCTGCACAACCGCTGCGTGTGGAGCTCCACGTTTGGATCCTCCCCCCCAAAAATTGATGACAGGCCTTTTAAAAAAAAAAAAAAAAAAAATTGAGGCAGAGGGAGGGATAACCTGTGTTAAAATTTCCACAGATGTCAACCTGAAGCATAACTGATGGTGGTTAATAGCCTTGTTTCCCCCGGGGACGCAGCTACTTTGGACTGTCAGATTAAACTGCTACCTCAGACAGCTTGTGGTACTTGATTATTTGAGGGGCTTGTAGTTATTTGGAAGGTAAATTGTGTCCTTAATATCTCCAATTTACAGCACAAATCACCCAGTATTTTCTATATGATGTTATATTAGCTGTGCTTTGCAGTGGGAGGAATTGCTGCTTACAAAAAGCAAATAATATGAAAGTGTATATTATTTAAGCAATCAGTTGCTAATAACCATGAGGGATGTCAAGTGAGCAGCATCCCAGACTTTATGCCAGTTATGCCATAAACCCTGGCTGCTTGGATTCAATCCAATTAGTCAGTAGGCAGCTCCTGATGGTCACCTCTGTGCCACGTTATTGTGTTCCTCCATGCAGCTCAGCACAGCCTTCAGGAGCTAATTGCACCTGTTGCATGGAAAACTAGGACTGTTTGGATGAGAAACATGATCTTATAAACAGGTTAATGCTGGGTAATGAACTATCACCCTGCAGGGTGATGGAAATAAATGGGAAAAAATGAAGGTAGAAACCCCAGGGTGTTGTTGTTTGCTCCCGAAGCTGTTGAGTTGAAGTGGTGGAGTTGAGTCTCCCACCTGTTTGGATAATTCTTTGTGTCATAATCCCCAGAAAAATGGGAATCAGCTCTCCCTGTGCCTTCTGAGCTGACTGGATTTCAGTGATCTCTGTATTTATACACTTTTCATGGTTACAAACATCCTCCATCCCACAAGGGAAGGCTGGGAGGGAGGGAAAAATCCATATATATTTTGACCAGTCTTCCATCAGCACCTGATAACATTTAAAAATACCTTGAATTTCACTCTGTGATAAAAGAGATATAAAAGATAACTCAATATTTAAACATGTAGAATAAATGAACAGTTGCTTTTATTTTATATTTATTGTGTTGTATGACACAGCATGAAGAAGCAGCCAAAGGAAAGACCAGCACCTGAAGATTTAATGGTAAGTGAAAACTCAATTTTCACTTCAATCTGTGAATACTTTTTATTCATTTGTATAGAAGTGTGTCCATTTTTTTCCCTGCATTTTTCAGTATGTACAGATTTAAATCTAAACTCTTTCTGGCTTGTGCAGCAGTTCCATATTTACAGAGGGCACCCAAACCAAAGGTGGAATTTTGATTCCACTGAAGCTGTTGGGTATTTTGCTGTTCACTTGTGATTTGGGGAGCTCACAGAGAACTTTCACAGCCAGTATCAAGTTTCAATCAAAACCATTTTGATGCTTAATACCCTTTTTTTTCCCCTCAGTTTGTATGTCCAGGGATTAGAGCTTAATGTAGGTCACTCTTTGTCAGCACTTGCCATCTTAACCTTTCAAAATGTGAAGAAAACAGAGGATATGGTCAAAATAGTGTTATTTTAATTAAATGCAGGAGCTGCTGTTTTCACTTAGATTCATGGAAAATGAAATTATATTGGCTGCAGAAGATTGAGTTAATATTTGGCTGTGCTCTGTCCATGGGAGGGTTCTCAGTGTTGGAATCTGAGCTCAGAGACCACTTTTTTTTCTGCTGGTAATTGTCATTTTTTCAGGGACGCAATAACAGGCTACCTGCTCTCAAGCTGGTCCCTTGTGGCTGTGCATTTAGTGCTGTTTTGACTGTTTTTAAGCAGCTAGGAAAACACCATATCAAGCAATTACTACAAATATTTACAGCAATTTATATTGTAGCTAAGAGTCATAATCCCCTCTGACTCACATCGAATATCTTTGATTTTTAAATGTCATTACTTTTCTTCGTGTGCTGCTTCCTGTAACTTGGAGCCTTATGGAAAATCATCATATTTTCTGGGGATGAAGTATCTAGGAATAATTTTAGCACAGGAATAACTTGAATGTAGGAGTAGTTCTAATGGATTTTAACAAGATAAAGACACTTGTGCATCCTCTCATTTTGTGCTTCCACACTGGGAGCTGCAAGTAGAATAAACAAGTGTTTCTGTTGCAGCTATTCTCTAGTTAAAGGCTAATCTCTGAAGATGCCCTGGGGCAGGTATCTCACAATCCTAGTCTCAGCTGAGATCCTGGTTAGGGAAGTATTTAACTGTGAATCTAATTTTAAGGATATTAACTTCACCAGATCCACATTTGCAGTCAGGTACCTACTTAAAACACCTCGGTAAAATGAGGCTTCAGGTTACTCAGAGCCCCTCCACTTTGGGGTGGTGCCTCCTACCAAGGGCTCACCCACCCTGCCTGATTTTTGTCTTTTTTTTTTTTTTTTTTTTATTAACTTCTGATGGTTGGGAAAATTCTTGCAGTTAGTCACATCTGAGAAAACTTGGAGCAGGTTCTGGAGATGTAGACACATTTACCTCGTGCACTATTCTGCCATGGCTGGGTGGCTCAGCTATTAAAACAATGGAATGGGGGTTCATAAAAACCTCTATCTGTTTGTAAATGCACGTTTGGGTGATGCAATAGGCCTGCCACTTATAAATAAAACATCTGCAGATCCACAGACCCCCATAAGTATATATGTATGTTTGGAAGCAATAACACCACTCCAGGGTGTAGAGCCATAAAAACGAGGCCAAAGGGTGAGTGCCTGCAGTACCAGGGAAGTGCACAGATTTATCTTTACAACTACATGCCCTGGAGTGTGCTAGTCCCCCTTTTAAGGAGGTGTTTTGTAAAATAATTTCGAAATTCCAGCAGCTCTAGAAGGGAAAAAAAAAAAAAGAAAATAATAAAAATAAGCGTTTCTACTTTTTAAACAAAATCTTTTGTTTAATGCATTTCCCCCCCTTGTTCTGCTTGCTATTCAGTGATAAAGGAACTTGTAACAACAAATAGTAAAATAGGAGGGAAAGTGCTGCTGAAATAAAGCAGTGACCCAGTCCTTGCCTGCAAGACCCTCATCACTGCCCTAAATTCCCTTCTCTATCTTCAGGGGCTCCCAGCATCCTGTGCTTTCCATACCACTCTCACTGTTAGCTCAGGACTTGCTCACCAGTCCAACCATTTATGTTCTTGCCCTTCCCCAGTCTTTTTTTATTTATAAAACTCACATGCATATGTACTTTAGCATGTTATGCCTGTAACACACAGATAAACACAGTATATCTGTATGTACATGGGTGTGTATAAATTAATTTATATACATCCACTTAAATTTAAAATGTAATAATTTACGTATTGATTCATAATCAGGGCCACATAATTAATAAACAGGGCCAGAAGAAAAGCTGTTAAATATCACAAAATCATTTAGTTTGGAAAAGACCTCCCAAGACTGACCCATCACCCCCTTATCACCCAGACCAGAGCAGTGAGTGCCACATCCAGTCATTCCTTGAACACAAACATCCTCTGAATTCTAGAATTTCTCACCACAGGATCCTTCTAATTTCTTGTCATCCATCCCTGAAGCCTCCATGTGGTTCTGGTGGATGGATGCAGTGAACAGAGTGATGTAAATACTGGAGGATATATGGAGTGGGTAGAGTGATGCAGATACTGCCAGTGAAATCCTGGATCTTCAAGGTCAGCTTATCACTGACTTAAATTAGGGTAGGATTCCCCCTTGTTCATTGAATTTTGGGTTTGTTTTTTTTTATTTAAAAGCAATGTACCAGCAAGGACAAAAGATATAACCCATAACCATCGTGAGCTCCAACCAAAGCTGCCTCCCCTACGGACTCCAACCATCCTGGAAGTCACTATTTTGTGACCAGTTTGGTATAATTAAAGACTGAAAGCAAAATGAAGGGAGCAGAGCATCAATCTTTTTCTACTCTCCTGATGATCAGGGAATTGTTAAATGCATTTTTGAAGAGCTACCTGACAATACCTGGAGTGCCAGAGTGGCAACTCCACCGGAGCCACGAGGTGGCACAGGGATGGATTTACCCTCTCTGGCTTAGAAGTCCTTTTCTTACAAAAGTCACAATTTTGTCAGAAAATAGGGCCAAAGCTGAGCCTGTGTGAAATTCCTGCATAAAGGAATCCACGTGCAGGATGAACACCAGGTTTCCATAAGAGCTGGCCCAGATTGGGTTCCTGTATTGATTTATTTTACTATTTATTTATTCACTCACTGGCCTTTCTTCCATGTACTCATCCCCAAAACAAGATACCATGGAGTTTTCTCTGTATATACATAATCAACTCATTGTTTCAAAGTATTTCAAATTAACAGACTTGTTCCACAGGAGTGAAAAAAAAAATAATTCAGCAAGTAATGAGAGATTTGTCCATCCAGGGAAAGGAACAGTCTTTAGAATTTACCAGTGGTTGTTCTAATCCTACTCTAAACTTAGTCTAAGGTGCTGCTCTTTTATCCCCAGTTTGTTCCCTCTTTAGAGAAGGCCATAGAGTCAATTAAATTGAATATATTGCTGTATTAGCACAGGGAAGGCTGCACAACATCTTTGCATGTTCCTCTCTCTTCTCTCCCTCTCCCCTTCCAAGATGAAAATCTCAACAATTCTTCTGTATAAAGATATTTTTTTCACCGTGAGCTTCCATTTTTTTTTGTGTGTGTAAAACATGGAGTTTTCTGGCATCCCAGGCCTGGCTTGCAGAGAAATGTGTATATTTAGCAGTGGAGATGTGGCAGCCTGGGTGAGGTTTAAACTCCAGGCTGGCATCCAGGGGCTGAGCTGGCTCAGGAGCTGGGATGTGACTTTATTTACGGTATTTTCCCGAAGCTTTCCATTCTAAGCTCTATTTAATGGAATCTATGCATAGTAAGTAATCAGGTCAGAGAGAAGCAACATCCCCTGTTTGAGATCAATCGCTGGCTAATACTTTATCTAGGCCACTTTATTATCTCATGCTGATTCCATTCCCATTCTCCTCCTCCTTTGTAGCGTGCACTTCAGCTGTGGTAAAAGTACGGATCACATACATATTAAAAACATATACCCATTCTATCTGTATGTAAATGTGGGAGGCACAGCTGGATATTGCAGGAGTTTGATTTACTAATAGTTATTATCTGTTCTAGCTGTTCAGAGGCAAAGAGAGTTGCAGAAAACAAGCTAGCGCAGAAATTGCCTTTATGATATCACTGCCCTGCTTTGGTAATTGTTTAAAATCTCTTCTTTAGCTGGAAGCTTGGCCTTTTCCTTGGCAGATTGGACATGATTTTCAGAATTGGGGAAGTCTCTTGGTGAGGTTGGTTTTTTTGTTGTTGTTGTCAGTGCAGCATTGAACTCTATCGTGCTGCATCTGGCTATTTAAAAGACAAGAAATTGTGTTTGAAGTACCAAAAGTCAGGGATGTGGCACTTATTCCATTCTGCTTTCCCAGTCTTTAGGATGCTGCTTGGATTTCTCAAGGAAAGATTGGGCTGAGAAAGGCAAAGCTGTAGGCCAAGGATGCAGTCACCTCCTGCACTTGATTACTTTTGCACAGATCTAATAATTTTTGTTCAAGTCTCCGAATTTTAAACACAACTATGAGCTTTTCTCCTTTTTTTTTTTTAAATTTAAATTACTGGTGCTTTTTTTGTCAGTGTTGTGTTCATTTAGAAGGTTGTGTTATAAATTGTACATCATCTGTGTCAAAACCTGCTGGAAAACCTTTTTTAAGTGTTATTATTTTAATGCCTAATGCAATTTGATATTTTCCATTCCTGTGCATCCAGAAATCCCTCTCTCCATTCCAGGAATGGCTTTAGACCAGGCACCCTGATCTTATTAGCTGTAATGGGAGCTTTTTCACATAAATAGTTTGTGTATTTAAATGTGTTAAGATACGTGTCAAGATGTTACAGGTTCTCAAAAATGGGTTCTGCCTCTCTGTTCCTCCATCTCAAACAAGTGCAGGAAATTAAAAAAGTAGCTGTATTTTAAATTGCTATATTTTAAGTAGGTATATTTTAATTAGTTGTGTTCTGGAGGGTCTGGGCAGTAGCACTTCTCACCAGGTAGGGACCATTCACAGGTCCATGTGTGGACCTGTGATGAATGGCTCTGTTTGCAAACATTTAA